GAGGGAGGACTGGTCCCGCTCCCTCCCTGCCCTGCAGGGATGCGGAGCTGGAAGCGGAACGGGAACAGCCTTTCCAGAGCCGGGCTCAGCATCCCGGTCCCCGGGACTGATGTCACCGGGCGCAGGCGCCGCCTCTCCTAGGAGGGGCTCGGTCCCGGCAGCTGCATCCCCTCCCGCTGCAAATGCTCCGGCATCCCCCGGATCCTTCCTGCCGCCAGCCCGGGAAGGAGTTAACAGGAGCCTGGATGCGGCACTTGGGCACATGGTTCAGTGATGGGCTTGGCAGTGCTGGGATAACGGTTGGAGTCGATCAACCTAAATTCTATGATTGTGGCCTTTTAGGGCTTATGAAAACAGGGAGAGTGGCTTTTCACACAAGTAGATAGTGATAGGACAAGGAGGAATGGTGTTAGCTAAAAGATGAGAGATATAGATATTAGGAGGAAATTCTTCCCTGTGAGGGTGATGAGGCACTGGCACAGGTTGCCAAGAGAAGCTCTGGCTGCCCCATCCCTGGAAGTGTTCAAGGCTAGGTTGGATGGGGCTTGAAGCAGCTTGATCTAGTGGAAGGTCTCCCTGCCCTTGAATCTTTAAGCTCCCTTCAACTCCACCTATTCTATAGTTCCTCAGCCTGCTCAGCCTGAGCTGGGCCTTGTCCCTCTGTGCCCATGGTTCATGTCCTCCCACCTTGCCTGAGCTGCTGCTGTGGTGGTCACCTCCATGGCAGGCAGGGACCCTGTGTGACCAGTGAGGGGGCACAGGGTGGAGGTAAAGGACCAGGCACTGTGATGACCACGGTGAGGTTGTGACCACCCTGGCACAGTTTTCAACCATTTGGTATCAGCAGGGGGTAAATACCCTCTGCTTGGTGGAAATTCAGAGCTGTTCTTCTGGGTGGGCTTGGGATTTGCATGATAAAAGAAAGAGAGAGGCAGCCTGGGCCTCTTTTGTTTCCTTTTTTTCCAGGCCAGACGTGCTCAGGGCAGAAATGCTTTGGACACTTCTCGCCTCTGCTGGGAGGAGCAGCTTAAATCCTTGGCTCCAAAACCAGGTTGTTGCCAGCTCAGACTGAGGCTTAAATTCAAGTTGATGTTCGGATGTGACGGAGTCTCTTTTAATCCTCTCTGAATCCACTACGCAGGGACAGACAGACGAAAGGGACATCAGCGAAGGACGGGAAACAAGGTATCCCGAGCAGCACAGTACGGTGGGAGAGGCTTGGCACAGAACCGGTAAGGATTTTCTCGATAAATTGTTATTAATCAGAGGTAATGGTATGGGCTGTTGCAGTGCAGAGCCGCAGAAGAATTTGCTGTCCAGGAGCAGCAGAATTCAGACCATTCCCTTAGGCTTATCCTGACAAGCTCAGAGAGCTGAACTTTGCATTGCTTTGCTTTTAGTTTTGATTTGCTTTGCTTTGCTTTTTGGGAGGGATCTCCAGCCGCACAAGCCTGGGTTTTGGAATGGCAGCGGTTCCCATCCTTGTCCTGGGGAATCAACTGCATCACCTGAGCTTTCCTCACTGGCTCTGCTCAGCCCTTGGCTGCAGGGGCTCCCCAGGGCCCCGTTATCCAACCAACCCCTCTCCTGGCATCTCCTCTTGGCAGAGAAGGGCTCGCTGAGCCTTCATGGGTCGGTGGCGGCTGGTTGGGAGCCTGGAGCAGCAGGAGGGTTTGGAGCCTGGAGCAGCAGGTGGGAGCTTTGTCTCAGCCGATCAGCAAAATCAGCTCAGACACTGCACAGCCCTTGTCCCCCACAGCCTCCTGCAAGCCTGAGCCCATCCAGGGCTTTTGTCCCCCAGGCTCAAAAAAAGATGAAGCTGTAGTGATGTGCTGGTGCTGGCTCTTGGGGACAACACTGAGTCCAGGGGACAAGGAGGGGGGTGACAGGCTGCAGAAGAAGTCCTGCCCCGACAGCCCACGTCTGGTGGCTGCCCTCGGCTCACCAGAGCTTCCCAGGTGGAAATGCCTGTCTCAAAACCAGATAAAGCTCTCACCAGCAAGGACGGCAGTGAACGATGCCAGGAGCTGCCTTGGTGCTGGCTCTTGGGGACAACACTGAGTCCAGGGGACAAGGAGGGGGGTGACAGGCTGCAGAAGAAGTCCTGCCCCGACAGCCCACGTCTGGTGGCTGCCCTCGGCTCACCAGAGCTTCCCAGGTGGAAATGCCTGTCTCAAAACCAGATAAAGCTCTCACCAGCAAGGACGGCAGTGAACGATGCCAGGAGCTGCCTGTGTCTGAGCTGGCAGAGACCCCTGGAGAAGTGGGGACCCTGCTCGGTTTCTTCTCTCCCCAAATCTTGCGTCACTTAAAGCCCAGAGCTGCACCACTCCTGCCCCAGGAGCTCCTGTCCCAGCAGTGCTGCGGCAGCAGAGGGAGGATTGCTGCAGCCTTGTGTGCGTTTGCTCCTTGCCCCTGATTAAATAAACATCCCGGAGTTATCAGGCGCTGCCGAAAGAGCTGAGTCGACATTAATTAGTAACTGAAAAGACTGGTTGGAAAGAGAATGATGGGAGCAAAATACACAGGCTGTTGTTTGCCTTCTGCAGTGAAAGTGCAGAGGGCTCCTGCCCTCTCTCCCTCACGACCACTCACCTCTGGCCCCCTGGTCCCCACGCACAGAGGTGGCATCTGCCCCATGCTAAGCCACCACACTTTGGGGCTCCACACGTCTGCTCCCAGCCTTGGCATTGAGAGAGCTGAAATTCTAAGAATATGTCCTTCAAAACAGTGACATTTTGGACAAGCATAAGCCCAGGGATTTTTCCTTTGCACTCTGAGCATCACTCCCACATCCCTTCTGGAGGGCTTTTGTCTTGCCAAGACCAGGCTGGGAAACTGCTGGGAGGTTTACTACCATGAGGTTTGCTAGGAAATAAGTGTGACAGGACTTAAAAACTGGTTCCTGAGTCTGGCCTGCTGTCCCTTCCTGCTCTCTGAACAGTGCCCAACAGGCACCTGGTCTGGGAAGGGGAACCCTATCTCTCTCAAACACACATGGCTCAGTACAGACTGCAAGGGAAGCTCTGTGGGAGATCATCTCTGTCCCCTTTCCCCTGTTCTGACCTTGATGTGTTTGTTTTCTCCTGCCGGGGCAGACTGAGCAAACAGTGGATGCTGGGGCTCTGGCCACTGCCACACTCCAGTCAGCACAGTTGCAGGAGGGCTGTGCTCCCAGACACTCAGGATGAGGCTGCTCTTCCCTACCCTTGTGCTGGCCCTGCTTGCCATCGCCCGTGCTGCTGAAGGTGAGCCTTAGCCAGCCAGCCCCATGCCAGGTGCTTTGGGGATGGAGCAAGTGCAGTTCCTGGACTGATGGAGGGACTGGGGAGCCTGGGTAGGGTGAGGAGAGAACCAGGTGGTGGCTATGGCCATGTTGGCTGCACCCTGCAAGACAGGGAGAAAGTAAGTGGACAGCACATGGGTACCAGTGGTACATGGGCAAAACCCTGGCTGTCCTACAGCTGGGCTGCCAGCATGGAGCTGGGTCCATGGCACAGCCCAGTCCATGACTCTCATCAGCAGGACTTGGTGGGAGTGGGCAGAAGGTGCCCCTGTAGCTCCTGGTGGTGGGGTTGACCACAAAGAGGTAGCGTGCCCACAACCATGACATACCCATGTTTGTTTTCACCCCTGGGGCTGGGCTGGTGGGGAGACACTGGCCCCACTGCCCACCCTTCGTTACTCCTGTGCTGTGTGGTGACTTTTGCAGACTCCTGCGTGGGCCGCTGTGAGGATCCCTTCGACGCGCAGCGCAAGTGCCAGTGTGACAGCCTCTGCATGTACTATGAGAGCTGCTGCAGTGACTACTCCACTGTCTGCAAAGCCAAAGGTACTGGCCCCACAGTCATTCTCCTGGCCAGGGCACTGGAGGTGGCTGAGAGTGACTGAAATTGAGGTGGTGCCTGAAATTGAGTGGCTTGAAGGGTCTGTGCTGGGTCAGTTCTGCACCCACCTATGTCTGCAGAGTAAAGTCAGTGCCAGGATTTGGTGCTCAGGGCGCTGCAGCACATGAGGTTTTTGGGAGCTGGCTTGCAGCCATCTGCAGTGTAGGAAAAATTTCTGCATTGGAAGGGTGATCATGCATTGGAATAGGCTGCCCAGGGAAGTGGTGGAATCACCGGCCCTGGAAGTGTTCAAAAAACACGTAGATGTGGCACAGTTTAGTGTTGGACCTGGCAGTGGTGGGTTAATGGTTGGACTTGCTGATCTTGGAGGTCTTTTCCAACCTTAACGATTGCACAAGTCTATAAATCCATATTGCCTGGGAGCAAGCAGCTCCCACACACAGAGCCAGTGGGAGACACCCAGGGCTCCCCAGGACCAACCTGCTCCCTCCCACAGTGACCCGAGGAGATGTCTTTGCCTTGCCGGAGGATGACTACCTTGACTACAACCTCACTGTTGACATCGTCACAGAAGAGGTCACCAAGGTAGACCCCACAGAACTACCCACGTCTCCATCCCTGGTGGATTCCACTCCGGAGACCAATCCAGGCCCCGATGAGGTGCTGACAGACCTGCCTGTGGAGGTGGTGCCCAGCACCACTACAGATGGGTTTGGGGGCCGTGACCCTGTGGGGGAGCCTGAGGAGCTGTGCAGTGGGAAACCTTTTGACGCCTTCACCGACCTGAAGAACGGTTCTCTTTACGCTTTCCGAGGTACCTTGGGGGTCTTTCCCAGGCACATGGGACATGCTGTCATGCTGTCGACCTGTGCTGGCAGCTGCAGCTCCTGCCACTCTCACCTCCCCTCTCTCCCCAGGGAAGTACTTCTATGAGCTGGACAGCACGAGTGTGCGGCCTGGCTACCCCAAGCTCATCAGTGATGTCTGGGGCATCGAGGGTCCCATTGACGCAGCCTTCACACGCATCAACTGCCAGGGCAAGACTTACCTCTTCAAGGTGGGCAGGAACACACAGTGTTCTGCCAGATACCTCCAAATCCCTGTGGCAGTTCAGGAGCCCTAGGCAGACACAGCCTGGAGCTTCCCAGCACCCGCTTGCTCCCCCTGGCAGACCTGTGGCTGGAGGATGTTGCACCCTAACCCTGCTCTGTCTCTCACCCCCAGGGCACTCAGTACTGGCGCTTTGATGACGGAGCCCTGGACCCTGGGTACCCACGTGACATCTCTGAGGGTTTTGAGGGCATCCCGAACAACATCGATGCAGCCTTCGCCCTCCCTGCACACAGCTACCACGGCAATGAGAGAGTCTATTTCTTCAAGGGTAAGGGGTGCAGCCTCCCAGTCCTGTGCAGAGCCTGACACCAGCAGGTGTGGGCAGGACACCCCTTCACTGCATCTCTTCAAGTGCCTGTCCCCCACTAACACTCTGCATATTGTCTCTTAGACAAGTTGTACTGGTCCTATGACTTCACCCAGCAGCCCACACAGGCTGACTGCGAGAAGACCTCCCCCTCCACTGTGTTCAGGCACTATGCCTTCATGAACCGGGACAGCTGGGAGGATGTTTTCCAACTCCTCTTTGGCGGCAGGATGGGTAAGGGCTGGGACAGCCCCAGGAGAAAGGGGTGGTGGATGCCAATACAGCCTGCACTGAGAGGGCATGAGGGATGCAGGCACCCAGGGAGGAGGGAGTTATGCCTGGAAACATGAGGAGGACAGATGAGCCACAGTGTCCTGCCCAGGTCATGCACAGGAACCTCCCAGGCCACAGCTGCATCTCCCATAGGATTCCAAATCCCATCCTCACAGCCCTTATGCCCCATGCTACTGAACCCATCTCCAGACACCTCACACCACAGCTTCACTGCTGGGGACTGTTTATTGCTACCGAAACTGGAGATGCCACAGGAAAAACCAGCTCTGGGCAAGGGGAATGAAAGATGGAGAGGAGGAGGAGGAGGAGGAGGCTCGGCAGCACAGGGCTGATCCCAGTCAAGGGGGTTGGGGAGTGCTGCTCCTGGCTCTGCCTAGTCTGTGTCCCCATCACACATCCCATCCAGGCTGGGATCTTTTGGAGCATCCCCATGGGTCTCAGAGCAGGTGCTGGGGGCTGTCCATGGCACTGACCTCAGCTCACCACATACACTGCTGCTCCTCTCACTTGTGCTCTGCTCCTTTTCCAGCCGGGGCGAGCCGCCCGCGGTACATCAGCAGGGACTGGCGGGGGCTGCCCAGCCGGCTGGATGCTGCCATGGCTGGCAGGATCTACGTGGCCTCCCACCAGCCACGGAGGAGGAAGTCTCGCCGCCAGCGCAAGAGGTACAACGAGCACCGGTCACTGAATCTGGGGCTCTGGAGCTGGCTGCACTCTGACTCCGACTCCACGGGTGTTGAAAGTGATCATCTGTCAGGCTCCAACTGTGAGATGCTCCAGAGCGTCTACTTCTTTGTAGGAGGTGAGTCTAGCATGGCAGGATCTGGGAATGATGCAGGACCAGGGCTGCTGGGATGGGAGGGGGCTCCTCTCACTGCAACATCCCCAAGCTCTGGGATGCGGTGGGAAGGTGCCCAGGGTTGGCAGTGAGGGCTGGCAGCTCTCCACAGCCATGGGCAGTCCTGACAGCCATCTCCCTTTCCTCCTAGACAAGTACTACCGTGTCAACCTGCGCACCAAGCGTGTGGACCTGGTGCTGCCCCGTTATCCTCGCTCCATCGCCCAGTACTGGCTGGACTGCCCGCAGCCTGGGGAGGAGAGTGCCTGAATGGGATCCCCAGAGTTGCAGGCAGCACAGCCCCAGTTAGACAGAAATAAACTGTGAGTGCCGTGCAGGCTGGAGAGTCCTGTCTGTGCATCCATCCATTCATCCATCCATCTGTCCCATGGTCTGCGCAGTCCTTGTACTCCAGAATCCCCATGTCCCCAAAGGCTGTGGTTGTTGCCCCAGTCCATGCCAGATTCCTGTCTACAGTGCAGCTGTGGCTGCTCAGATCTGCTCTGCCAGCCAATCCAGGGCTTCTTCCCATTGGAGGAGAGGGACTGTGCCGGCAGCTGACAGCCAGAAATCAACAGGGTCAGGTCTCCAGCACCCCCAGCATCAGTCCACAGCCCCATGCATGAGTGGCTGTGCTGGGGATGGGTGTCCATCCCCAAGGAACCCCATCCAAGGCCCTGCCTGGCCCTTTGCCACTGCCTTGCTCACCTCTGGGCTCTGGCAATCCTGGCCATGGTGGTGCCGAAGGGATGACCTTTCCCTCGGGGCTGGGACTGCACTCAAGGCCTGGTAGCTCCCGGGGAAGTGGGTGCTGCTGAGACAAGCTCCTGCTCCTGCCACGGCTCCTGCTGTGAGGACATATGAACAAACCCTGACCCACTGTCCCACCACCCCCCGAAACCCCAGCTGTAGCTGATGCCCAGGGAAGTGGCCTCAGGTGCCAGCTCTCACCACTTCCCCTGCTGCGGCTGGGGGTGCCCGTGGAGCTGATGGGAGCCAGGCAAAGCCACATCCTCCTGTCTGGGTGGCAGAACACCAGCACTTCCCTCGGGGGGGACTGGCTGTGGAATGGGGGGCACTGGCAGAACCTGGGGGTGAGCAGAGGTCAAGGTTGCTGTGCCACGCTGTGCCATCCCCCTCCGAAGAGACCACAAAGGGCTGTACCTGGGACACAGTGGCATCAGCTGCCCTGGGGCAGCACTGGGGGCACCCCGGGCAGCTGGGGCGGCCGGAGGCAGGAGACAGCTTCTGCAAGAGGGAACAGCAGTGGGTGAGTGGTTTGTGCACCCTCACCCAGCTGTGGGCAGGATGCCCATAGAGCCCAGGGCCCCCCACACTCACTGGCAGCCGGGGGGCAGAGGCAGGGGTTGTGGTGGGTCGGAGCCTCCTGGAGTGGCCAGGAGGGACATTGGGGTTCCAAGCATTCTGGAGCAGGGGCTGGCTGACACAGGAGCTGCAGGTGGCTCTGTGGGATGGGCCAGTTGGGATGTCACCACTGAGGTCTGGGGATGGATGGGGCTGCCTGGGGAGCAGTGAGGGAACAGGGAATGCCATTGGCAGCCTCCAGAGAACCTTGAGGCCCTGCCCAGCCCCATGGAGTCCCTGGGAGAAGCTGGCTGACACAAGGTGCTGACTGACACAGGGTGCTACTGGACCAGGGGCTCTAGCTGCCCCATCAGCCCCTTGATTCAGGGGTCCTGCTCATGCCCTCCATACCTCATCTGTTCATTCTCCACCACGAAGTCCCGCAGGAGACCATAAAGGCTGGGCCAGGCTGGGGTTCCCTCTGATGTGAGCTGCCCTTCAACAGGGAGATGACACAGCCCTGTGGGGCCGTACATGCCTCCCCAGCCTGGCCATGCTTTTGGGAGGTTCCCTGGACCATCCACACTCCTCACTGGCACCCTAGGCAGGCACAGCTGCTGGCGCAGGGAGAGGTTTTCCAGCTGCAGGTGATGGATTTCCTCCTCCAAGGTCTGCAGCAGCTTCTCCCGAGACACCTGGGAGCATAAGGGGGTGGCTCAGAGATGTCTCAGCAGTGGGGCTGAGGAACTCAGTGGGGTCCCTGTCTGCAATACCCTGTTGGCCAGGGGTCTGGTGGTGACTCTCCGGGCCCGGCTGGCGTAGTGCAATGTGCTCAGTGTCTCTGAGAGGCAGCGTGAGGATGGGGAGATGCAGGCGATCTGCCGATGAAGAAGAGATATAGGTGAGCTGTCAGCCAGGGGGTCACCACCCCTCTCCAGCCTTGCCCTCCACAGGGTGAGACCCCTGCCCAGCCTCCTCCATGCACATACCATCAGGGTGATGCCCGAGCCACCCAAGGAGCGGGCCAGCAGCCGGGTGAGCTTGCTATCCCGGTATGGGATGTGCGTTCTCTTCCCTCGAGGTTTGGCCAACAGAGAGATGCAGTGTCCTGCCAGAGGATGAGCCACAGAGGGTGCAACAGGGCTCTGACAGGGATCAGCAGCTTGTGATCCCATGGCAGGTCCCCTGACTCTTACCCAGTGTCAGGAGGCTGCGGTTGATGCTGTTGGCCTCCACGGAGAGCTCCCCACTGGAGCCAGTCTCCTTCACCCGCTCGCTGCCAGCCAGGTCCACGAAGCACAATGTGCCCTGCTTGCTGGGGCAGGCGCTGGGCTGGGGGACCCACATTGGCTGGTGATGCTTTGTCCCCCCTCACCCTTTCCCCATGGCTCACAGCAGTGGCCCAACCCCTGTGTCTGGGATCGGACTCTCTGCTGCTACCACCGTGTCCATGAGGAGGAGAACATGACCCCCACAGCCTGGGGCTCTTTGCACCCCCATGATGAGCCCTTGGCCCCCCCAAACCCTCCCCTGGAGCAGGGTGTGTGCTCACAGCTCGGCTGCGGATGTGGATGGTCAGAAGAGCGTGGCTACGGCTCGAGTGCCTGTTGAGGGCATGTGCCGAGGTCCGTCGCCTCTGGGATCCTGCCGGGGGGATTGAGAGCTGCAGGGGGGCACGAGGCCCCACACCCCAGCACAGCACCCACTGCCCACCCCCTGCCAGACATGAGCCTGACTTGGCTCTGCAGCAGGACAGAGAGCTGCTCCTCTTGGCTCCCATCAGAGCCCCACCAGCCCTGGGGGTGGTCTGTGGAGGGCTATACCAGGTCTGGCACCCCCTGAACATGCCCCAGCCCTCTGCCTGTGGCTCAGCACCTTGCAGGAGCAGGTTGACAATGGCCTCCAGGCTCTCAAACTCCACACTTTGCTGATTCTCCACGTAGAAGCCGCGGGTTTTGCTCCACCGCAGGGGCAGGGCACACGGCGGCCCCAGGCTCAGCAGGTCCCGGACCTGGGGGTACAGCGAAGGAGAGACATCAGGGCAGGGGAGCACAGGGTGCTAGCAGCACCAGGCTGGGCAGTTGGGCAGGCACCTACCTGCTCATTGTAGATCTCCAGGTAGGAGGCACTGAGAGCCTGGTCA